AATTAGGTCTAGCTGGTCCATTGTGTCCGTTAAAGTTTGTGTTTCCTTGTTCATTTTCTGTTTAGTTGATCTATCCATAGTTGTGAGTGGGGTATTAAAGTCTCCTACTATTATTGTGTTACTATTAATTTCCTCTTTCACACTCGTTAGCGTTTGCCTTACATCCTCAGTGAATTTAAAAATCTTTACAAACCAACAGTCTCAGGAGGGAGCGTTCTTATCCCTCTTTTTACAAAAGCGCGGACTGAATTTCGGGAGATGGAGCTTCGTGGGAGCAGCCTCCCTTTGGGTCCCCACGTGCAGGGCCAGCTGTCAGGCTGCTTGCCAGACATTCCCTGAGCTGATCCCCACTGCCGCTCAGAAGCCGGGGACGCTTATCCCCAAACTCGCCTGTGATACGCGGAGAATAAAGAGGAAAACTGCTTCTGGGATAAGATAAGCCATTCGAAGTGCAAAGCACAGTGGCACTCATGTTAAAAGTCCTCGATAAATATTAACCCTTCTTTCATTATCACCGTCATCTGCCATCGCTCCAGCACTGAGTTGTTGTCCAAACTCCAGGTTCAGCTCAGAGTTCACCCTGGTAATCTCTGCACGCCACCCCCCTTGTCTCCCGTCCTGCTCCCTATGGCCCCAAAGCACCGTGGGCCCAACGTCAGACAGGAAAGTTGGCCTTAGAGATGGAAAGGATTCTCTGGAGTCACCTGACCCCAGTTTCCATCACTGCTTCCCTTTGGCTACTTTTTGTCACATTCAAATTTCAAGTCCAGATGGTTCCAGCTGTTGCCCCAAAGCCAAGGTCTTCAGCACAGACATTTCTCTAACCCATGTCTGAAAGGGTTGTTCTCAAGGGAAATTGCTTTCCAAACATCACAGAGGGAGATAGGTGCAGATGGCAGAGTGCGGGGTGGGGAAGGGAAGAGTGAGGTGATGGAGTCTGTAACTATCTGGTACTCGTCCCGAGTCCATCTGTGTGAAGATACCTTTGTGCTTCTTTTGCCGTCATTGTTATTACTTCTTTGTCTTTTCATTATTCAAATTGCAACCCTGTTAGGATGGATCGACTCGGTAAGTAGCATATCCCACATACTGGGTTTTTAGAACCTTTTCAGCTTTTTAAGACCGTCGATGATGGATGGGCCTGGGGTAACCTTGGTACCTCGCTCTGCATGGTAGAGCCTGCAGCACGGATGTTAGTTTGGGGGGTTGGGGAGGAGGGGCAGCGTCAAGGTTGCCCAGGCATGATTGGCCCTAGAGAGCAACCTCTTCTCCCGCAGGACAGCCGAGGCATCCCGGAAGAAGAAGGAGAACAGGAGGAAGTGGAAGCGCTACCTGCTGATAGGCCTGGCGACCGTAGGAGGCGGGACGGTGATTGGTAAGATGGGCTGGTGACACGTGGCCGGGCCGGGCGAGGGTGGGAACGGGCTCAAGGGCGCACAGTCACAATGGACTGCTTGTTCACTTGCGTGTTAAAAGTCCTTTGTTCTCTCCCACTTGCTCTGGGGAGAAATTCAGATTGCTTGCTGCAGCTCACGCACTCCTGTGTGGTCTGGGTCCCCCACACACCGCTGCCTCCCAGCCGCCTGCTCAAGCCACCCTGTGCTTCGGCGGCACTGCTAGGCCTTCCCCCGCATCCCTTCGCATGGTGTCTGCTGCAGGGGGATCAGCTGGGGGGGCTGCCTCCCCACCTCGTGCAGAGGCAGCGTGTTCACGTGTATGTCGGGAGGCTGTGCGTTCACACCCCCACGTCCCCGGTACGGGCGGCTGTCCTTGCAGGCGTCACTGGGGGCCTGGCCGCTCCTCTCGTCGCAGCTGGGGCCGCCACCGTCATCGGCAGCGCCGGGGCCGCGGCTCTGGGCTCAGCAGCCGGCATCGCCATCATGACCTCTTTGTTCGGTGCAGCTGGAGCCGGCCTGACAGGTAAGGCTCCAGAGGAACGGCGGCTGTGAGGGGTCTGCGCCCCGGGTGGCCCAGCCCCGTAAGGGACACGCCCAGATTCTCACCAGGGGGACTCCCTGGGAGACGGAGGAGGAGGATGTGGCTTTCCTCTTCTCTGAGTTCCAGAACTTGCGTCAGGCTTCCGCACAGGTCAGGGGAAAGGCCGAGGTTGTGGAACTGCCCCCAGCATAGACTCTCTAGGGAGGGTCGTCCTGGACCTCTTGCTGCCATCCAGGAGGTTTCCAGGCGGGCTGCCTCAGAGATGCTGGAGCTTCCCCTGTGAGAGACACATGGCTTCTTTTCATCCGCCAGCATCACCTGGGCGGGGGCAGGGAGGGCGTCTTTCCAAGTCCCGTGTGTCAGTAGGCCTCTCGTCACACAGTTTCCTGTTCCTCTCCCCAGGTGGCCTGTAGCTTCCCACATTAAGAATCTTGGTTATGGGAACTTCCCTGGTGGTCCAGTGGTTAAGAACTTTGCCTTCCAATGCAGTGGGTAAGGGTTTGATGCCTGGTCCAGGAGCAAAGATCCCATGTGCCTTGTGGCCAAAAACACCATAATAAAACAGAAGCAGTATAGTAACAAGTTCAATAAAGACTTTAAAGATGGTCCACATTTTAAAAAATCTTAAAATAAAAAATCTTGGTCAGCTCACACCACTATTACTAAGATGGGTGCACTCCACTCCTGAAGTCCATGGGCAGGAAAAGGATATAGTACCCACCAAATCAGGACAGAGCAGTTGTTTATAAACTTGGGCTCTGGGTTTCAACCTCAACTCTGCCACTCGGGGGCTCACCAGCCTTTGGAAGCCTCTTACTCTCATCTGTAATGAGGGACAATCATGGCACCGTTAATGAGTTCAAAAGTGAGATGGTTGTTGAGGAGCAGGGTGTGAGTGTGTGAGTACACGGAGCCACGCTGACCAGCATCCCCCAGGGTCCCCAGTCACCCCATCCTCATTTTTGTACCTGGGTCTTTAGGATACAAGATGAAGAAGCGTGTTGGGGCCATTGAAGAGTTCGCGTTTCTGCCCCTGACGGAAGGCAGGCAGCTGCACATCACCATCGCCATCACGGGATGGCTGGCATCCGGAAAATACCGTGAGGACTGGGGGCAGAGAAGGATGCGGAGTGGGCGGTGTTGGCTGAACTGGGTCTGCTGCTGTGGGCCAGTGTGTGTCTCTAGGGGGTGGGTAGGAGAGCCCCATTTTTCAGAGGAGGAGACTGAGGCTCAGAGTGGTGAGATAACTTCATCCCATAGTCTTCCCATCCATCCATCATCTGTTTGTCTACCCACCCAGCCACATCCATCTATCCATCCATCCATTTACCCATCCGTCATCCATCCATCCATTCGTCTATCTATCCATCCATCATCCATATATCCATCCATCCATCTATCTACCCACCCATCCACATCCATCATCCATCTCTCCATCCATCCATCAATCCATCTATCCATCCATCATCCATCCATCCATCCACACACACATCCACCCATCAGTCCGTCCTTTCAGCAGGCTTCACAGAGCACACTCTGCCAGACGCTGAGCCAGGCCCTAGGAGTTCAGTGATGAGCAGCAGTCATGGCCTCTGCCCCATGAAACATGTGGTCCGAGGCAGGAGACAGACGACTGAGCAGAAAATCATTGTGCATAACTGGCACAATAGCGGAGCACAGAGTGTTTCTAGGGAGTGAGGGAAGAGTCACTAGAGGTAACTTTTGAGGCTTGGGACTAGCTGGGCATTCGCCAGGTAAAGAAAGAAAGCAGTGAATACCAAGTGAAAGGGCAGCGTGTCGAAAGGCCTGGTGGTGTAAAAGAAGCACATGATGGCTGGAGCAGGGGCTGGAAGACAGGAGTTTGGGTGGGGCCAAATCACGCAGGAGCCTGTGAGCTGTGGCCAGGAGTCTGGACTTCTCAGAACAAATGGAGGTTAGCAGAGGACTTTGAGCACGTAAGTGAGAAATCAGTATATCTTGGCTGTGTGACCTCAGGCCACTTACTTAACCTGTCTGTGCCTTGCCTGTTTCATTTGCGAGGCAAAGCAGATTATCCTTGCCTTTGAGGGTACTCACAAAGATCAAACAAGGTAACCTGTAGGAGGTTTTTGGTGGCATTCCACAGGCATTACTTAGTTCCCCTTGCTGCTGTAATTTGAACACGTGTGATCTGAGGGACTTCCAGCCAGGGTGGCCTGAGGAGTAAAGTCCACGGTCTGCTTCCTGCTGGCTCGCTGTTGCAGGCGCTCATGTGAGGCTCGACAAACAGGTCATCATCCAGGGAGCGAGCAGGGTGGGCCCGGGAGGTGGGAGCATCCCAACCAGATACACTCAGAGCCTGGTGGGTTCCCGGGGGGGAGCCACAGTTCTTCTGAATGACATAGCAGGAAGCAGGCGAGAAAATGCCCAGCCTCTGTTGAGAGGCTTTCCTGGGCCCCAGAGTCTTACTGGTGAGGCTGACCCCGGCCAGTCCTTGTACGGCAGTCTCTGGCATTGGCAGCACCTAGCGCCCTGAGTCGCATTTCACCCACACTCTAGGAGCCTGATGTACATTACCTTGCATGACCCTTGGAAGCAGAGCTTTTCCTTCCCTGATCTGGATGAAGAGGAAACCTAGAGGGGTCACATGGCAGGCAGGTGGCACCCAGGATTCCACCCGGGCCTCCCGACCCAGGGTTCGCGGGCTCCCCTTCATTTGTCTCATGGTCCTGTCTGTGCTACAGAAAGACCAAGATAGGAAGGAAGGAGAAAGAGTCTAAGGGAAGGAATCTGCAGCTCTCACCAGTATGGAAAGCAAATCTTTTACGGTTGTTTCACCCCCTGGCTGAGTTGGCTCCAGGTCAAAGTCAAGCTCGTCTGGGGCGGGTGGGGAGGAGGAGATTGTCTTCAGTGCTCTCCTGCAGCAGCCTTGTGCTACCGGTATGCAACCCAGGCAGGGGGGCGGCTATAAGAAATGCAGCCGAACTAGACGAAGTTCTGGAGGGAAATATCACCCACCTCCTTGACGCCAGGAAGGAAGTCTCATATCCTCACAGGCTTGCTTCTGCCTGTTATGGGAACAAACGGGGCTTCCTGGGTCTGCCCCTTTATTAGACAGGATTGTGTGTAATCATGGTAATGGCCTAGTAGCTCACCGCTGAGCCAGGCTTTCTGCACACATTGGCTCACTTAAGCCTTCACATCGAGCCACAAAGATGGGCATCATTATTACCCCCATTTTACAGATGAGGAAACCGAGGCTGATAAGGGCTGCCCAGAGTTGCCTTGCTAGTCAGGGACTAAGGCATGGCTCACCCGCTTTCTGTCTGGCTCTGTGGCCCATGTTCTTGGCCATGGGGTGATAGAATTCAGGAGAGTGCTTTATGGTTTACATAATGCTTTCACACAGCCTATCATGTGATCCCCATGACCCCCGTTTGTCAGATGCCCGCTTTCCATTCTGACACCTGCAGAACCCGAGGCTCAGAAGGGCAGTGTGCCCTGCTGCGAGCCTTGGGACCAGCAAGCTGCCCAGCTGGGCCCAAAGCCAGGGCCAGCGTCACAGCCCACCACGCACACACATGCACACACACACATACACGTGCACATATTTACACACTTGTGCACATATGTGCATACACACACATGCTTACCCATGTGTGTACACACATGAGTGCACAAATACATGCTGCATGTGTGTGCACACTTACACACCTACATGTACACACCGTTACATAATACATGTACACACATGCGTGCATGCATACATGTAGATACATGCGCAGACACATACATGCACACACATACACGTGCAGATGTTTATGCACATGTACACATGTGTGCGTGCACACACATGTTTACACATGTGTGCGCGCACGTGTAAACGTGTGCACAAATACATGTCTGCACACATTTACACACCTACATGTGCACACCGTTATGTAATACATGTACACACATGTGTGCATGCATGCATGTATATACATGCTCAGAGACATACATGCACACGTACATGTGCACATATTTATACACGTGTACACATATGTGTGTGCACATACATGTTTACACGTGTGCACACAAATGCGTGTCTGCACAGATGTACACACTTACATGCCTACATGTGCACATCGTTATGTAATACATATACACACATGCATACATGTATATACACGTGCAGACACATACATGAGCACACACACCATCTGCCCACGTCCTCTCCCAGGGCTGGCCTCCTTCTCCTCTGTAACTAGAGACAGTTAATCCCTGAGCTGCGGCAGAGCTCTGCCTGGGTCCCTGCAGAGAGGGGGAGCAGCCCCGCAGGGTCTTTGTCAGCAGAGACCCCCCAGGTAGGGACGAGGGCTTTGGGTCGGGCAGGTCGAGGCGCCTGGCTGAGCTGGAACCCGGAGGCAGTGGGAAGCTGCCTCCTCCCTTCCTTCATTCATCCTGCTTTCATGAAACTTTGCTAATTGAGCACTTGGCAGACGGGCTGCGGGAGAGACAGACACCAGATGAGGCAAAAATAAATGGATAATCGTAGGCCATGATGAGAACTCAAGGCAAGAAAGCACAGGGTATGTGAGACCCATCAGAGGGCCAGAGGGGATTCCCTGGAGATAAGGCAAGTGAGCTGGAAGCTCATAGAAAAATAAGGATGGAAGCTCACTTGGGCCACAGGCAGAGACACACAGGGCTCTTCCATGCTTCCACAGCCCACAAACCAGTGACTCCGTGAGGTTTGCACAGTCCTCTCCCTCGCTGGGCTAAGGGCTTATCTGGGTGGCTCAGTCTCCTGCGTTGTAAAATAACATAAAATTATCCCCTGTAGTTGTGGGGCTCCATTTCCCAAGCTACGTCGAGGATTAAATCAGAGTTCCATGAGAAAACCCTCAGTGCAGAGCTGCCCAGCACTTGGTACCTGCTCACTGCACGTTTCCTGCAGTGATCAGGGTCTGTATCCTCAGGGTCAGGCTCCAGGCCTGGCGTAGTCTAGGTCCCCGGTTAATGTCTGTGTAGGAATGAAAGAGTGAACAAAGGAATGGCATCAAAAGCATGTGTTTCCAAAGGGTAACATGACGAACAGTGAGGCTGTGAGGAAGGCAAGGGCCAGGTCACAGGGCGCCTGGGTGTCCTGCTGGAGGGGCTGCCACCCTCAAGGCCGAGGGAGGACCAGGAGGGAGTAGGCATGCCAGCGTGGTTATCTTCTCCTGCTTGGCGCTGGGCACGTGGTGCTCTCATCACCCTCCCGTTTCCAGTCCCTCGGTGAGAAAATTCAGGCTCAGAAAAGCCGGGGGAGCCAGGGAGCTCATGGCAGAGCTGGCCTCAAAGCCCTCTGCCCCCAGCTTGCAGACTGTTCCCCAGGTGGCGTGAACGCGATGCAGCTGGCTCAGGGAGCGTGCCCGTGTGGCCCGTGTGTTCCTCTTGTAGGCCCTCAGCCGCTTGATGCCAGAGTTACTGCAGAGAGCAAGGCAAGAGCCCCTTACATGCATCATCATTGGAATACTTAATTCTTACAGCTGCCCAGTGAAAGGAGATAAGTAGTGATCTCCCCACTGGACTGCTCCGCAGAGTGAGGCTCAGCCGGGGACAGGGGCCCCCGGTGCTCAAGGTCACCAACGACCTTGCGGAGGACCGCAGGAACTGGGTCTCACCCCAGCCCGCCCGCTCACAGGGCAGCCCCGTGCTCCATCCGGGAGCACGCCTGCTCTTCTGTCAGCTGCTGCCCCTGGGCAGGGGTGGTCCTCCTGTCTCCCCCACGAGGGTGGGTGGGCCTCCATCCCTGCCTGTCAGGGAAAGTGGGGGCCCCCTCCGGCCCAGACAGGAGAGACCCCACCTGCCCGCGCTCTCCCCAGGCACCTTCAGCGCCCCCTGGGCTGCCCTGGCCCGCAGCCGCGAGCAGTACTGCCTGGCCTGGGAGGCCAAGTACCTGATGGAGCTCGGCAACGCCCTGGAGACCATCCTCAGCGGCCTTGCCAACATGGTGGCCCAGGAGGCCCTGAAGTACACGGTGTTATCTGGTGAGCCTCCCCTCTCCCCCGCCAGCGGCATGCCCACCACTCCCAAAGCCACACTGGTCCTGTGCCTTTGCCTGCTTGAGGCCCCCAGGGAGTCAGGCACCATGCCAGTCCCTCAGTGACCCTGTCTGTGACATGGTTATTATGGTCTTCATAGGGAGGAAATAGATAAACAGCCAGTCACATTATCACCTAGTGTATCAGTCAGTAGCGGCTGTGTAACAAGCCACCCCATAACCCAGTGACCTAAAATAGCGGTCTTTTATCACAGCGGCGCAGGAGTGCTGCGGCTTCCTTTGGCTGATCTTTGCTGGGCCTGCTCACGCATCTGTGTGTCAGCTGGCCACCCACCAATGTGGCTTTGTCTGGGGCGACCAGGGTGACCGGGCTCTGCCCCATTCGTCTCTCCTCCCCTCCTGGGGTCGCAGGCTAGCCCACACCCCCGGGAGAAGTGCGCCAAAGGCACAAGTCCATTTCAGGCCTCTCGTCCAGCAGTGTCTCATTGGCCAAAGCAAGTCACGTGATGGAACCTGGTGTGGACCGGCAGGGGGCGGGGACGGGGGCGGGGTTATGGGCAAAGTGGGAGGGATTCAGGGTGGCGTGACAGACTGGGGCCATCTCTGGAATCTCACCCGTGGCAAATGTTTGAACCTAAGAGATCTAGTCCGCGTGTCAGAAATGCGTGAGCTTCCGTTTTTTTCTGTGCTATTGAGCAGTTTGACAGCACTTGGCAAACTTACAGATCCCAAGTTAGAGACTGCAGGCATTCACTCGGGCATCCAGTAGCCAGCCAGTCACTTCCCTAGAAGGAGCCCCCATCCTCACCCCGACTGCCTTAATCACCAGTACCCCTGCTTCCCAGGCATCGTGGCTGCCCTGACCTGGCCCGCCTCACTCCTCAGTGTCGCCAACATCATTGACAACCCCTGGGGCGTGTGCCTCCATCGATCGGCGGAGGTCGGCAAGCACCTGGCCCACATTCTGCTCTCCCGGCAGCAGGTACCCGGGACTGGCTGGAGCGGGGGAGCTGACTGGTGGGCGGATGTCATCCCTAAGATGAGCCCACATGGGGATAGCTCGGTGACTTTAAAGGGTCTGCCCTGCTCCTCCAGCTCAAGTCACAAAAGTGTCCTAGGAGGACTTCCCTGGCTTAAGACTGCGCTTCCACTGCAGGGGGCCCAGGTTCCATCCCTGGTTGGGCAGCGAAGGTTCCGAATGGACCTGTATGGTGTGTCCGCCCCCTGCAAAAGTGTATCCTAGGATGGGCCAGTAAGAATTACAGACTGTGCCTCTCTAAAAAGTAATCAGGTGAGGACTGAGTGTCAGAGGCCTCGGCAGTTGAGGTCAGGGTCAGCTCTTCCTTCGCAGATGTCTACAGAGCTACTCCCTAAGCATGTCTCTAGTGGTCCAGAGACCATGTAAAACCATCAGGATTCCATCCACATTCCAGACAGTCAGAGGCAGGAAGGTACAAGTGAAAGGCCAGGAAGATCCCACGTGCCTCAGGGAAGCTAAGCCCGTCGCATCCCTTGGCCAGGACTCAGTCCTGAGGCCATCCCTGGCTACAGGGAAGTTGGAGAAATTTAGTTTTGGGCTGGGTAGCTATGGGGGGAAGGGGGCGAGAAAAACTCAGGAGTTTTGCTACCAAGGGTGAAGGGAGAGTGGCTCTTGGGCAGTGACTGGCAGCCTTGACCGCAGAGTTCCTGTGAAACTGGAATATGATTCAGTGGAGGGACTTCGGTGGAAGTAAATGGAGGTGGGGCAGCAAGGATTGGATGCACATATTTGCCCCAAAACAAGTGCTGAGGCCGGCTGGTCCAATGAAACTCACCTTCTCCTGCTGTCTGCTTCCATGTATGTAGAACCTGTAGTCAGACCCCTCTCCTGACCTTCTTATCCAGGTCTCCCTTTCTACAAGTTCTTTAGTCAGAAAATTCCTCTGTGCATCTGACTTGGAGCCCCCTGTTTTTTTCTTTGCGTGTTTTTTTGTTATTTGGCTGCCTCGGGTCTTCATTGCATCCTGTGGGATCCTTCGTCGTGGCGCGCAGACTCTGGTTGTGGTGCGCAGGCTCAGCAGTTGCGTTGCACAGGCTTCGTTGCTCTGAGACATGTGGGATCTTAGTTCTCCAACCAGGGATCAAAGCTATGCTCACTGCATTGGAAAGGATGCTTAACCACTGGACCCCCAGGGGACCCCATGGACTGTAACCCACCAGGCTCCTCTGTCCATGGAATTTCCCAGGCAAGAGTACTGCAGTGGGTTGCCATTGGGGATCTTCCCGACCCAGGGTTCAAACCCGGGTCTCCTGCACTGCAGGCAGACTCTTTACCGTCTGAGCCACCAGGGAAGCCTTACCAGGGGAATCCCTTTGTACGTTTTATTATTATTATTATTATTATTGTGGTAAAAGTCACATAATATGAAACATACCACTTTAACCACATGTAACTCTATAGTTCAGAGGCACTCAACACTTTCACGCTGTTGTGTAACTCTCACCATCATCCAGCTCCTGACTTTTTCACCTTCCTAGACTGAAACTCTGACCCCACCCTGGATCTCCCCGTGTCCCTTCTGACTCCATGAATCTGACTCTTCCAGGCACCTTGTATAAGCAGACTCAAACAGCACTTGTCAGCACCTACCATATGTTGGAATGCATTGTTCAGTTCAGTTCAGTCGCTCAGTCATGTCCGACTCTTTTCGACCCCATGAACCACAGCACGCCAGGCCTCAGCTCTTTGCATCAGGTGGCCAAAGTATTGGAGTTCCAGCTTCAGCATCAGTCCTTCCAGTGAACACCCAGAACTGATCTCCTTTAGGATGGACTGGTTGGATCTCCTTGCAGTCCACGGGACTCTCAATGCATTGTTAAGGTTAACTTAATGTATGTCCTACAAACAGATGGTACTTTCCACGCCCCCCTCCCCAGCGCTATACGTAGGTTCTCATTAGCCTTCCATTCTATACACAGCAGTCTCCTGTCTCCTCTCCCAGTTTAAAGCCAACATTTCATACCCCGCTCTCCTATTCAGGAACAGAACAGTTTTCTCCCCCTGCCACGTCACCCTTTGCCGCCTTCTCCATCGCATCTGGGGGTACCTCCCACCCCCTCCCAGCTTCAGAAGGGCCCCGCTTCACTGTGGTCATTTGCTGCACACAGGTAGATGGGGAAGGAGAGACTGGGTAATGGTTTGAGATAAAGGGGAATGAACCCAGTGAAGCACTGCCTGTCAGCCTTGGAGGAAGCCAGTTCGCAAGCAGGTGCCCTCCTGCGTAAACGCCTCTCCTGGTGGAGACATCCGAGGCCGGGGTCAGGAACGGCACAGCCACGATGCATGAAGTGCAAGGCAGCTGCTGACAAGTGTGCAAGGGCCGCCGTCGTCAGGGCTGCTTTTCTGGAACCACTGTGCACACCCGTGTCCCTTCTCCCCCAGGGCCGGCGGCCTGTCACCCTGATCGGCTTCAGCCTGGGAGCCAGAGTCATCTACTTCTGTCTGCAGGAGATGGCTCAGGAGAAAGGTAAGGCTGGCTTGTTACAGGTGAAAACCCTCCCTGAGTCCGTCCCCCAGGCTGGAGGTTCCACATCGGGGACCTGAAGTCTTGTGACTGTGTTCCCAGATCTTAGTTAAAAGCTTAAAATAGTCTGGAAAAAGAAAACATGGTTACTTGGAAAATTGTTTATTTCTTCCATATGTAAACTAGAGTGGATGTGAGATAGTCCTACAGTACTGGCCTTAGTTTTCTGATGTGCGTTGTTGTTTTTTGTTTTTTTACTTATTTATTGATTTTGGCCCTGCTGGGTCTTTGTTACTGCATGCAGGCTTTCTCTAGTTGTGGCTTCATTGAAGTGCATGGGCTTCTCACTGTGGCGGCTTCTCTTGTTGCAGAACACAGGCTCTAGAGCAGGCTCAGTAGTTGTGGAGATGGGCTTATTTGCCCTTGAGGCATGTGGGATCTTCCCAGAACAGGCATCAAACCTGTGTCCTCTGTGTTGACAGGCAGATCGTTAACCTCTGGACCGCCTGGGAAATCCTGATGTGGGTTCTACAGTGGGAGGAAGGGGGTGGGAGGACTCTGCAGTTGGGGTGTTGGCAGGACCGTGTTCCCTCCGAAGGCTCTGGGGGACCCTCACCTCTTCCAGTGCTGGCCGTACCCCCGGCTTGTAGATGCGACATTGCACCCAGGCCTCATGTTTGTCACCTTCTCCTTTTTGTCTTCTTTCCTCCCCGAAGGACAGTTTCGGTGACTTTAGGGCTACCCACTCAAATCCAGGATGACCTCATCTCAGGTGCATGCACATGCGTGCTCAGTCATGCCTGACTCTTTGCGACCGCATGGACTGTAGCCCACCAGGCTCCTCTGTCCATGGAATTCTCCAGGCAAGAATACTGGAGTGGGTTGCCATTTCCTCCTCCAGGGGGTTTTCTTGACCCAGGGATTGAACCCACATCTCCTGCATCTCCTGCACTGACAGGCAGACTCTTTACCACTGAGCCACCTGGTCCCAATTACCTGTGTGTGACGTCATTACTTCTGCAAAGACACTTTGTCCAAGTCAGGTCCCACTCACAGGTTCTCAGCTCATAACTCGGTGGGGGAGGGGGCACCGTTCCGCCCACCACAGACACCTGTGGGAGCGTGGCATGCCGTTCAGTGACGTGCTTTCAACGTGCAGGCAGCAGAAAACTTGGATGCCCCTGCCCCAGCCTCGGGTGGGTGAGGCCTCTGGGACTGAATGCTGGTTTGAGACAGATCTGTCAGCCGGGGCTGCCCTGGGGACCCCTGGACTCTAGCCCGCCAGGCCCCTCTCTCCACGGGAGAATACTGGAGTGGCCTGGGAATTCCCTTAGGGGCTTTTTCCTGGCCCGGGGATGGAGCTTGGGTCTCCCGCATTGCGGGCAGAGTCTTTACCCTTTCAGCCACCGGGAAGCTCAGATCAGCAGGGTGGAGCAGTGCGTTCTGTCCACAGTGGACACGGAGGGAAGCAAACATTTGCCAAAAGGTGACTTGGACTCTGACTCTGGGGTTAGGAGGGCATGGGCTTTGCTGGCCTGAGACCTGGGTCCGGGTCCTGCCTCTGCCCAGCTGGGGAACCTGGGTTGGGTAACGATGCAGCCTCGCTAGTCCATCTCTCCATTTGTAACAGGAGGTTCATGTCACCTCTGGGCAGTGGCAAAGGGCAGAGAGCATGACAGTCTGGCGGCCAGCCCAGTGCTGGCTCCTGATCCTGTCCTGGCCTTCAGGCTGAGATGTCTGCCAGTGCAGGGGGGCCGTGCACCCACCCCTGCTCTCTGCAGTTGCTGCCCGCCCCCCCGGGAGGTTGTCATCCTCTGTGCCGTCATCATCTTTCTCCTTTCCTGGTCATCCATCCCCCAACCCATGCAGCAGACCATCTACCAGGCTCCTCAGGACCTGGATGTACTCAGTACTCCTCCTCAGTACCGAGTACCTCAGTGCCTGAGTCGCTCAGTCGTGTCTGACTCTTTGTGCCCCCGTGGACTGCCGCACTCCAGGCTCCTCTGTGCTCTGCTGTTTCCTGGAGTTTGCTCAAATCCAAGTCCATTGAGCCTGTGATGCCATCCAACCATCTCATCCTCTGCCGCCCCCTTCTCCTCCTGCCCTCAATCTTTCCCAGCATCAGGGTCTTTTCCAGTGAGTCAACTCTTTGCATCAGGTGATCAAAGAACAAGGCCACCTGGATGACGTGTTCTTATTAACAGGATCTATTCTCAATTCAGAGGAGAAAGGCATACCTTTGGCTCCAGTGAGCATCAATACTTGTTAGCTTCAGAACATTAATACAAGTCAACTCTTCAATTCCCCTGCTGGACAAATTGGATTCATTTCCATTAACCATTTGCCCGAGGCCATTAGAAGTGAGATCGACCATCAGCTGCCTCTGGCAAGTGAGGCTGGAAACCGAGGGAAGGAAGATGTGCTGCCTCTCCACCTTTGCAGGGCTGGTTCCCAAAGCATCTTCCTTCCGGCCTGTTTCCTGGTCACTGCTTCCTCCCCTGTATCTTCACTGCCGACCAGTAAGAACTGGGGCTTTGGTATCAGGCAGACCAGGATCTGGGTCCCAGGTTTGTCACTGATGAGCTGTGGGACCTCGGGAAAATCACTTAAGCTCTCTGAGCCTCAGCTTCCTCATCTGATGTGGGGTTTGGTACACTCACCTTGGAGGCTCTCCGAGAGGTTAAAATGAGACCATGAATGAAAGTACCTTCCATAGGTTCAGTTCAGTTCAGCTGCTCCATCGTGTCCAACTCTTTGCGACCCCGTGCATGGCCCGCAGCACGCCAGGCTCCCTGTCCCTCACCAACTCCCAGAGTTCACTCAAAACTCATGTGCATCAAGTCGGTGATGCCGTCAAGCCATCTCATCCTCTGTCGTCCCCTTCTCCCACCTTCAGTCTGTCCCACCATCATGGTGTTCTCAAATGAGTCAGTTCTTCACATCACATGGCCAAAGTATTGGAGTTTCAGCTTCAGCATGAGTCCTTCCAATGAATATTCAGGACTGATTTCCTTTCGGATGAACTGGTTGGGCCTCCTTGCAGTCCGAGGGACTCTCAAAAATCTTCTCCAACACCACAGTTCAAAAGCATCAATTCTTCGGCACTCAGCTTTCTTTATAGTCCTATTCTCACATCCATACCTGACTACTGGAAAGACCATAGCTTTGACTAGATGGACCTTTGTTGTCCGCAGTTGAGGTTCCATTAGTAAACACCTGTTCCTCTAAACTTTAACAGGAGGGCCTACTACACATGGGGAACGATGGTGAGTGTTGAGTAGGTAGAAAGTGAAAGTGAAAGTTGCTTAGTCATGTCCAACTATTTGTGACCCCATGGACTATACAATCCATGGAATTCTCCAGGCCAGAATACTGGAGTGGGTAGCCTTTCCCTTCTCCAGGGGATCTTCCCTACCCAGGGATCCAACCCAGGTCTACTGCATTGCAGGTGGATTCTTTACCAGCTGAGCCACCAGGGAAGGCCACGGTGCTTGTCATTTTACATCTACTTTCTGGCACACACATTAGACCCCAAACTCCAGGTGGACAAGGTCTGCCTGTGCCCCACCATCTCCCTGGCACCCAGCATGCTCTGAGAGCTCAGGGAAGGTGGGACATCTTGGTGTTGGGCAAGGGAATCAAGCATGGGCTGATGTACTCAAGAGCCGGGTGCAGAGTCCCCGTGTGCTAGCCACAAAGGGTCTCAGTCTCCCAGCAACCCCTGGGGGATGGTTATTCGCCTGCTCCAGGGATGAGAAAACGGAATGAGGAGCCACTCGGGTCCTGAGAGCCGGAGCCAGGGTCTGAGCCCAGGGTGGCGGGCTTCAGGGCCCTCAGTCCTGACACTGCTGTACTTTGCAGAGGAGAGTATGGGCGGGGGTCCTCCAGAGGCCCTGGGGGGAAGGGCATTCCAGCGGGCCGGGAGGCAGGACAAAGGAAGGGCTCTTGGGGTGTCTGGAAATGTTGAGTCTGGTGTTCTTGCAGCCTGTGAGAGGGGGACTGAGCTGGAAGGCGGTCGTGGTTAGGACAGGAGAGGGGCACAGGCTGAGGCGCTGGAACTGACCGCTTAGACGCTCGGCCTGTGAATTGTGCGGCGAATGAAGAGCTGAGCAGGTCCGGCAGAGGGAGGCACTGCAGTGGGTGTCAGCCCCGGACAGCCTGCGGTTCCCACCCACACACACCCACGCACACATTCCCGTGTACGCACACACGCTAACACACACAGAGCAGCGACTCAGCCAGCCCCAGGGACCTCTGCCACCCGCACTGTCCTCTGTGTCCAGGGCAGGTTTCAAATGTGGAAGGAGCTAGGATGGGAAACTTCCCAATAACAAGAAATTTGACCGAATCTGAATAGAAGCCCGGTGGTCAAAGGCGCAGCTGGCTTTGTCCCCACCCGATCCCCTCCTAAAGGAAAAACTTGAAGCCAGAAGTCTCTGAATGAGAAGCCTGTCCATCAGCCTGGTGGTTTTCCCTCTTAGTAACGTCCCATCCCACTGTGTCCGGACAGGAGGCGACAGAGCACCCCGGTCGCCCTTTGCCTCACCCTTAAGAACGGGCCTGCCCGTGGTGACCGAGGCTGATTCCAGACGTGGGCAGCAGCGGCACTCCGGTGGTGGGAGGTGGGACACGCTGGGTGGGGGAGGAGGCCATGCCCTTTGACCCCGTCTGCCCTGCCAGCCCCTCAGCGCCTCCAGGCAGACGGCGAGCCCCTGACACCAGGCCTCAGAGTCCTGTGTGTCCCCAGTTTCTCTCTTCCTTTCCAGAGAGCAGGAGGGGACTCCTGATGGTCCATAGAGACGGGAAGTAGGGAGCAGCACACACCGCCTGCAGGGGGGACCCGAGGGGCCCGAACCCAGAGGGCTGGTTGCTGCCGCACAGCCTCCCTGGGGGCCTGGGCCCACGGCCAGCGGGGCCGAGAAGCGACATGAATGAAGACGTGGCCGCACGCTCACAAAAACAGGCTCCCGTGCCTGCATGTCGAGCGGGGCCCTCATCTTCCT